GGCGGCGGGGCCGACGAGGGGCGGGAGCTGCTTGGAGGGCTGCGGGACTCGGCAGCAAGCGAGCAGCAGGAGCAGCAGCAGCAGCTGGAACCGCAAGAGGAGCGCCCTGGGAGCTCGCCGCATGACCCCGCGCCGGCTGCGCCGTCGGAGGCCGGGAGCGCGGCAGGGCCGAGCGGGGCCGAGCCACCGCGTGGGGCGGATGCTGCCGGGCAGGAGGGCAGCAGCGACGGCCGAGAGTCCCCCGGCAGCCCCGTCGCGCCCGCGTCCCCCATGGCGACTCCGGGGGCGGGCCACCCGGTATCGGCGGGCGCCGCGGCGGCCGGCGGCGGCGGCGGCGGCGAGGAGGGCGGGGACGGCGCGGGTGGGCGCGAGGAGGGGGGCGGAGCCGGGGCCGTGACGCCCTCTGAAGCCTCCTCTGCAGCCGGCGCCGCGGACGGCAGCCCGTCCCCGCAGCGGCCGGAGCCCTCGCCGTCGCCCCAGCCCCCTGCGTCCCCATCAGCCTCCCCGTCGGCGTCCCCGTCGGCGTCCGCCGCGTCGTCGGCGCTGCGGCGCTCGCGGCTGCGCGGCCTCGTCGCCGCGCGGCGGCGGCGGCTGGAGGCGTTTGGGGTGTACGACCCCCTCCTCTACAGCGGCGACAGTGCGTCGTGGCGGCGGGGCAGCGCCAGTAGCTCCGCAGGCGGCGGCGGCGGCGGCTCCCAGGGCGGCCAGGGGCCGCTGGGCGGCGCCGCCAGCGGTCGCGGCGGCCGAAGGGGTGCGGGCGGAGATGAGGGTGGGGTTTTGAGCGAGGGGGACGGCAGCAGCTCCAGCTCGGGCACGAGCGGCTCCGACCTATATGCGTCCACTGCGGCCATCTGATTGTCTGCAAACGATGATATTGGAGAGGGTTGGGCATGCTTCGCGTTTGATCTTGACTTGGTTTGACCTGGGTTGACCGAGGGTGTGGCTGGCGTGGCTGTGTCGGGGCTTCTGCACTGTCTGCTCTGCTCCGCAGTCTGCTTGATCACTGCACTGCTGGCTCAAGCCATATATTAATATGATATGAATATCCATATTAGCCATGAGTTGGCCGCCTGCCAGTTTATCACTTTAAGGCGCTTCTTACTCCAGCAGCCCGGTCACTGCAACGGCGGCGTTTGTCATCCCGTGCGAAATCCCCAACTTGCCGGAAGAGTACTGGCGTGGCGCGTGCGACAATGGCAGCAGCCGTTCACGCGCGCGCTGAGGGCGCCCGGTGTGCATGCTGAAGTGAGCAAAGGCGAGCTTGGCATGTTGTGCGTGTTGTATGGGCTCGCGTTCCGCTCGAGTATGATAGGAGGGCAAGGAAGGTGTATGGTCCAGTGCAACAGAGAGCGGAGGGAGGGCGTCACGACGACGCAAACATGCAGATGCAGACTCGGCCGAGCGCCCGCCTGTGCCCCCCTGCAGAGGGCAGGGGAGGGTGGGGGACGCCGCCGCGCAGGAGGCTCTGGCGATTGAGAGCGGCGCGGGCCGCGACTAGGGTATCCCACAGCAACAAGTATTGGAAAGGGGACGCCCCTGCTTTCATGCAAGGTCAGAAGCTGCTTCAGCGCCGCCCTGCTGCACCCAAAAGCAGTGCAAGCTGCGCAACACACGCGCACACACAGACACGGGCCAAGAGAGCGCGCGGGAGACGGCGACGTGCGGACAGCCGTGCGCGTCGCTCCATCGGGGCAGTGCTGCGTTCAAATGATGACGATGATGATCCCAAGGACCCGCTGCGCCGCGGCACGCTCCAAGGCGCCGCCCGGGCGGGCGCCATCGCCGTGCTGCCCGTCGATGCAGCCCGGCGCGCCGCCGCACGCGGGCGCTCCTGCCTCCCGCGCGTCGCGCCGGCCCCGTGGATGTTCGTAATCCCGGATTCCCCAGGATTGCGTTGACCCCAATTCCCTGTTTCTTTCAGGCCAAGACAACGGGGGCCTCGGGAGCCCTGCGCGACCCCATACACGGCAACAATTTGCTCCTTGAGCCGAAGGAAAGCTGGTCTGCCGCGTGCGGATCATCTGACAACAACCCAGCGCCACCGACCCGGATCCCCATCGCCTCTGCAGCCTGCAGGCCGCCGTGCTGCCCCACAGAGCGCCGCGGGGCGGGCCTGGGCACGGGCTCATGCGTGGGCCCGCCCTCCCTGTCGGCCCGCCGCTCGAAGGAAGTCGTACCCACCCCAGATCAGCTCGACGCAGACGCCAGCACGACGCTCGATGACGTCATCGCGGCATCACCACGCCGCGGCCGCCAGCGGCCCGCCCACTGTGCCGCCGCCGCCGATGCCGCCGCCACAGGGAAGCTTGGCAAGCGCCGTTAAAAGCTCCTCGTAGCCGCCGCCTGTGCGCACGAGGAGGTGCCCGTTGACCTCCCGCACGTGCAGCTTCTTGCCAGCCGCCACGTAGGTGAACGGCGCCACCCTGGGCGTGTCCGGGGGCGCGTGTGTCGTCGTCAGACGTTAGGCGCGGGGTCGTAGGGCCGAGCGTGCGGGGCGAGGCAATCATCTGGGCGCAGGCACCCGCGCCTCCGGCAGTGTGGCTCGGTGATCTGGCACCGCCCTGAGCCAAATCGCGACAAGGCGGCCTCAAAACGCGCCGCGTACTAGGCTAGACGGGCCGATCCCTACAAATCCGCACCACAAACATACACACACATCCCACCCCACACACTTATCACTCTGTCACCTTTCCCCACCTCACCCCCAACTACCAATGGTCTCTGTGACACAATTGTCCCCCGTCGCCCTTCAAAACACCACCTCTCCATCCACAATAAGAGGAACAATCCGCACCCTCCCCCCCACCCGCACTGGCGCCCCGCGGGTGCGGGGCGCCGCACCCGCGGAGAGGCACGCACCTATCGAGCTGCAGCGGCACGCCGTTGCGCCCTAGCGCCGCCACCAGCCGCGCCACCGCCGCGTCCACGCCGGCCGCGGTCGCGGGCTTGCGGCTGGCGAGCCTGGCGACCCACTTGTCGGGCGGGCCGCCCCCCCGGGGGTAGGACGCCGCGGCGCCCTCAGACAGCGTCGTGCCCAGCTCAAGCAGCGCCTGCGTGGGCAGGCGGCATCAGGGGGAGGGCGCGCGCGCTCCGGCTGTCGCTCACGGCTTGCAGCGTGCCGCGGCGCAGCCGGCTGGCCGGCTGCCCCCTTTGCCCCGGCTGCGCGGCGGTGCGAGCGAATGCAAGCTGCGGTTTAGGCCGCTTCGCGGCCTCAGGCTGCGGTCTCCTGCCGTGCAACGCCCCTCTGCACCCATAGGCCCGCCCACCTCTTTCGCGGCCGCAAACCCTGGAGCA